GCTAAACTACAGTTCATCTTTACTTTGCTTGTGTTCTTGAATATGATTATCATCTCAGTTTGGAGACAGACTTGACAAGCAGTCTGTTGGTCAAACCGTAGGAGGAAAGTAATTGAAGAAACAATTGCTGTAAAGCTGCTTTATCTCAAATTTGTTTTTTAAATGACAACACGGTGTTACTATTTTTTAGAACTAGACCAAGCTGTATCACAATGCCTTCCTGTGGTAACCAGTATTTTCCTTGTTCTGCTGGACCTTTGAAAGAGGTAATGGTGACAGAATGGGCACAGTATCCCAGTGTGAGGCAGCAGGTGTGGCTGCTACTATGCCTGGTATTGTCTCAAACCCTGGGATTTATGGTCTAAACATATTTTTTCCCCTTTCTTTTCAGATCACAGTGCCTGAGATTTAAGTTCATTTCAGATTGACTGCAGTATGTTTAGATTCTCCAGTTCATGGCCAAACCTTGCTTTGGGATACATGTCTCTGAAGATCAAAATGACAGTTATGTTTTCTTCTTTTTCTTAGCATTTTTAAGTCAGTGGAGCTGGAATTCCAAGGTCCTGTCTGCTGCTGCCTGTAGGATTTTTAGAATGGCTACAGCACATTCAGAAGTCATAGCAGAAATAGCTTGTCTTCATGAATATCAGTGTTTCTGAACCCTAGGGACAATGATATAAAATATTTTATTTAAAAAGAAAAAGTCAAATAATAAGTGGACACAATCAGCTATTGAGACTATATTGAGACTTGTACTAAATGTTATAATTTAAAATAATTTTGCTAAAAATGACATTGTTTTCAGGTTTTTGGAGCAGATACTGTCATTGGCATAACTTTCGTAAGTGCTACTTAGCCAAAGTGAGTTGAGCAGTGTTCATCTGGAGACTTGGTATGTTTTGGAGCAAGAGGAGTTGCTGTTGGTCATCTGAATGAACTTTTTTTGTTGTTGCAAACTGTACTGAGAGTTCAGATTCACTTCACTGTGTGGGTTTCTATTTACAGTACTGCTCAAGGCTGATGGAGCTTTTCTAGGAAACCTGGAAATATTTCCTAGTCCCTGGATGATAAGGATCTGGCTATTAGATACCATAGATGTTTACAGCAGCAAAATGTATCCTAATTTTATTCTAAAATAAGGATCTCATAAGAGAATGCAAGGTACCTTGATGACATTTTTAACCAAAGAAAGACCTCTACAAAGTTGCCTTGCCATTATTGTTTTTGTGTTACCTCACCTTTCTAATTGCCATCATTGTTAGGGAGTAAGTGAATGATGCAGGTTTCCCAGGCAAATCCCTGCTATATTTTTCCATGTCTGTTTTAATGTGGCTGTGCTCTCCTACGTAAATGTAGCATGAGGGTAGCTGCTGGCTTCTAACTCCCTGGGTTTTCCTGTTTGGCACTTCTGGAAGCTGAGCTTGTTGTTTACCCAATTCAAATGGTTTTCAATTCAAATTTCTAAAGAGGTACCTTCCTCTAGAAACTACAGTGTTTAAAGAAAATGTACTTAAATTTGCATGATGTTTATTGTAGCAAATAACTGATTTCATCTTTTCCTAAATGGAAAAAAAAAGAAAAAAGTTGTCTTTACCCTTTGAATTTAAGAAGGGCAAAGAAACTCTGGAAATTTCCAAACTCTTCCTCCCACGAATCCCAATCTCCTGGAACTGATTCTATTAATTTTCACTAGTTTGATGTGAAATATATCCACAATGACAATAGTGATGAATGCAGATACCAGAAGATTCTGTCCAGGTTTTATTTTAAAGCCTTATATACTTACAGAGATTTCAGACACCTACAGATTTTATACCTGATAGAAAATTACCATTAAAGTTTAATACTGCAGTAAAAGTAAATCCTAGGGATTTGCTGGAGCCTCCTGGAGTTTAAGCAATGAAGAATTAGAATAAAATAGCTATGTGTCTTACAACCCATAAGAAAAATAATTGACAAAATAAGAACTACATTCTGAGACAATTTCTTTGCTAGGTTTTGCCTTTGCTTGTCTTATCTAACCTTTTTTTCAAAGGAGAATCTGGTCTCCTTAAGTGGAATGTTCAGGATGTACTTCAGTTAATTCTCTTTTTTCCTTTTCAGTTTGTTTCAGATTGAAGAGCTATTTCCCTTCCCCACAAGCTTCTGTCATACATCTTTGCCTCCAGCCAGGAAAATCTGCTTAGGGCTCCCCAGTTGTGAGGACAGGATCTCTTTATTGGCCAGAGGACTGGAGCCCAGGGTAGCTGTTCTCTCCATCTGAGGGGGGTAATGTATTCCCAGCACCACTCTCTGCATCTGCTGAACAGACAGGCATGAGGCCATGTTTTATAATGGACTCAAACAGCCTCCTTTTCGGGCAGTGGTCTGGCCTTTCCTTTATCACCCAAGGAGAACATGCCAGAAGGGACATGGTGCTGTTGTGCTGTTTAATAATGTGAAGTTCAAAGACAGTAGTTTTGCATGTTTAGAGATTAAAGATAATATAACTCAAAATATAGCAGCAGTGCATTCTGAATATTCTAAGTATTGTGGAATAAAGAACACGCTAGGAGAGTAATATTGTTAAATGACTATGAATTACAGGCTATTTGATGATTTTATTCTCATTCCTGGAGGGCTACATTAGGTCAGGAGGAGCAGATGGAAACTTTTTGCTGGGACACAGTTACTTGACAGCTTCCTTCTGCATTGTGTAAAGGCTCCATTGGCAGATTTTCTAAATTGCCAGGGAGATGTAACTCTTTATTCTGCCTGCTTTTCCTCCACTGTCTTATGGTGGCAGTGCTATGAATGTAATCCTTTCCAGTTTCTTCATCTTTAAGTGGTGTTTCCCAGTTATCTTTTACAATTTCTGAGGGGCCTATTACTTTTAGCTGAGACTTAAAAGGGAACATTTACCAAGAGGAGTTAAGTCTTCAAACAGCTCTACTCAGGTGACTCCCTGCCTCCCATTCTTTCACTTCGGTCTCTGGCAGCTCAGTCACTCATGGTGATTTGCAGGTTTTCCACTAATTTTTCCTTGTATCCTTGATTCCACGATGTTTGATTGCAAATGACCAACTTGACTAATCTTAACTGCAACAGCTATATATTAATCCAGTTCAAGTAAAACTGAGGAAGTGGTTTTCCTCTGGCTGCTGCTCTGCACTGCAGCTTGCACAATGCACAGGGGTGAATTTTGTCGAGGGACAGAATCACAGCCATGCCCCATCCAGGCCTCAGTTTGCCTCTGACATTCCCAGGCTTTAAGCAAATTTTATCAGCATGCTGGTAAGAAACATCCAGCTAAAATATCCTAAGTAGCAATTATACACTTAAAGAAAACAATTTAAATGCCACAGATTGCTGTCTGTGGGTAATTATTCAGTCTAAAACAAATAACCCAGAGGTTACAAATAATAATTTTGCTAAAAAAATACTATCATGCATTATTCAATATCTACATTTTTAGATTTTGAAAAAGTAAGAAAAGGTCTAAATTCTGTTTGTTCTGTTGTAGTACTTCCCAAAGAGAGTAAGTTTCAAATTTATTCCTGTGGAAGACTGGGGATTCATATGCCAAATGTTGACCTGGATTTGCATATTTTTTAATATGGGATTTATGTACCTGTGAAAATATGGGTATGTGATAGAAAGCCTGACAGACCCTTTAACTATGGTGTCACTAATACATTGTTATAATTTGTTACCTCAGCTAAGGTGTTTTGCCTCAAGAGGTGGAATACTTTTATGTATGGAAAGGTCACTTTTAATTAATAAGCTGTTTTCATCATTCAGGGACAATATGAATTGCTTGTAACATTTGTGTGAAATAGTTTTCAATATAAAAATAAAGCAAATTGAGCTTTATGTCACATTTATCATCCCCCATAACACATTTAAATGTCAAAAAAATCAGTACAGACCAAAAGTCTATTTCTAGAAGCCTTAGTAGCCCTATTTATCAGAGTGAAATAAGATATTATCATCCCATTATCCCATCACATGCCTTCTGTACTTGAAGCTGTACCATTTCTTCATTTTCTATAATACAGAAGGTAGTTTTTCTATTGTTAAATATTTCTTGTCCAAACTCTATGTAGTGAAGAAAGTGCTGAGTGTTTCTTATACTATAATATAAATGTGTGATATAATATACACTGATTTACTTACTTTCTTGTACATATCTCAAATGGAAAAAAAAATAAAAATTAGTGTTCTTCTATCCCTATTTGGAAACAAATATTTTGCAGGCTGCAATTTGTTAATATAATTTTACTGTAAAGATAAAGCTTTCAGTGTATTTACTACTGATGTATTATGAGAAAAATCATGCCATTGTGTAGAAATTTTATGTCCTTGTATATTTGACAATGAAATAAATGCTGCATTAAAAAAATTCAAGCTATTCGAGTTATTTTTCTGAGATTTGTTTTCTAACAAGGAGGGCTCAGATAGTCACATGGCTCCATGGGTGTATGTTTCTTCCTTCTAATAATTCTAAAATTTCAAATATGAATGGGACTGAGCAGTCTCAAAGGTTCTAAGTTCATTTAAGATGCCTGAAAATAGGCAGCAGGATAGAGGAGAAGGATCCCATTAATGCTGAGAGGAAGATGCTTCTGAGGGTTGTGATAAAGATGATGAGGAGTTCAATTCCATGGAATCCAGCAGGATCTAGAGCTAGAGAGCTCCTGTTGGAAGAAGTAGATCTGGCTGAATATCAGACTAATGTATATAAGAGGGTTTGGCCATGTGTCATAAACATGCAAGAAACCAGGTTGGGTGGTTTGTTCCTTAGAGAGGCTTTAGCAGATTATGCCATTATTATATCTGAATTCTTATATACCTTTTGAAAAGAAAGGACTGGCTCAGTCAGAAAAAACTGGTGCAGGTGTTAAATGGTGCAAATTTCATTTTATGTAGAAATACGTGGGGGTGTAGCTTCTACTGTTTTTGATATATTATATATATTTTGTTCAATGCTCATGGGGTTTTTTTCACTTTTACTGCAACAGGCAGTGCCATTGGAAGTGATGACATCATAGCAGGGAACGTGAGCAAGTACATAGTTCTCCCAGCTGGTTACTGTGGACAGCCTAAAAAAGGACATCTCATATTTGATGCCTGTTTTGAAAGTGGTGAGTATTTTCAGCATTATGTTACCTAGCTGTCAATATGTTAACACTTTAAACTCTATCACTCATCTTTTTGCGAAGTGTCTTCGTTCTAAAGAAGACTTACATTAAATACTACGTAACAAATTTAGCTGATTCCCTTCAGTCATGGTATGACTTCAAATCAAACTTCAAATGTCAAAAAGGTTGTGAAGTTTGCTGTTGCCTACAATAAAAATTTCATCAGTTCCATCTTTAACCACATGTAGATACATAACTGGATTTTATTCTGTCATTATTTATGTGATAGTATTTATGTATTTATGATGTAGTATTTGAAATATGCTATTTAAAAATTAATTTAGAAGTTTACTGGGGCAGTTAACCCAGTAAAGTGCCAAACTCATCCTTGCATAATTAGAGAATTTTTAAAACATATATGTACTGTCTTTAAATATATTACTTGGGGTTTCCTGTGGCCTGATCCTGTATTGCTGAGGTTAATGGAAGTTCTGCCTCTGATGTCAATAGGAGAATTAAACTTTAGGAAGCTACTGGAAACTGAAAGGGAAAGTATTTTTTACAGGAGTTATAGTTAGAACATTAATTTAAAGAGTAATTTTAATTGCTTATATGCATGTGGGGTATGTAGGTAAATATATCCATGAAAATTTAGCATTGTTTGAATTTTTGTGTTACATACATGTGTGCTACCAGATTTTTAGCTTAAATCTATTATTACTGGCTTTCAGACCTACAGAGCACTGTTAAACACCATATGTAGAAAAGGCATTTGGCAGGATAAACTATAGTTTTCAACATGGTTTATGTGAGAGGTGCTGGTAATGCCAAAACTGCTCCAGTGTCTTGTAAAATGAGCTTTTTATGAAGAGTTTCATCCCTCAGGGTAGAATACTGGCTGCCAGTTCCTGGATAAATATTAAATTGAGTTATTTAAATCCTGTGATTACATTATGTAAAAAGTGCAAATGATGCAGTGAATAATAAAGAGTATCTTTATTAGTTCCTTTTTTTTAAGGCGTGTCTCTGAAGGTTCAGACAATAGTTCTGTATTTTTAAAAATACTTTGGGTGCTATAGTTATGTGGGTTTTTTGCATTTTTGTATCAGAAAGTGGCTTAGGAAATGAATCATGGCCAAGCTGGGAAATTTACTTTATTGTGCTAAACTTCTCTGCAATGAAAATGATCAGTAGCAGTCATCAAATTATTTGTGAAGTATTGTGAGTCATTGCATGATGGTTAAATTGCAGTTTTTGAACAATGGAATTAATTGTATTTTTAAATTAAAACATTTATTCTGTTTGAAGGTAATGTTCATACTTTACATACTTTAGTAGTAATGGAATGTGATAGAAGCAGGTGCTATTTGAAATACTTTGTTTATTTACATTGTAGCATGATGAGGCTGTGATGTTGCTTTGCATATTCAGACACTTCCAAAACACAAATATGAATGAAATTAATACCTTCATTTACTTTCTCATGATGATAAGGTATTAGCAAGAATGAGAGTAATACTGTGTACACTTCATGTGTAAATTCACTTCATCTTTTGTTCTATGTCAGCCAAGTAATTGCTTAGAGTACCTTTACTGGTCAAAGCAAATTAACTGATATTGGATAACTTACGAAATTGTTATTAATGTTGAAATCTATCTCATCCTATTGTCCAAACAGTAGGACACAACATTTATAAGATTATCTTGATGCTCTTTGAGTACCACCTTAGATATAATATCCAATGGATTTTGCCTTTTGCAAAGAACAGATGGTAAAAGTGACCCCACCTGCAGTACTGCCCCCAGCTCTGGGCTCCCCACAAGAAATACATGGACCTGCTGGAGGGGTTCAGAGGAGACACGAAGACGCTCTGAGGGCTGGAGCGACTTTCCTATGGAGACAGGCTGGGAATCCTGGGCTTGGCCAGCCTGGAGAAGAGAAGGCTCTGAGGAAACCTTTTTTTGGCCTCTCAGTATGTAAAGGGAATGTATGAAAAAGGTGGAGAAAGGCTTTTTCCCAAGGCCTGTGGGGATAGAGCTGGAAGAAAGGGGTTTAAACTGAGAGAGAGTAGATTTAGGTTGGCTGTGAGGAAGAAATGTTTACAATGAGGCTGGTGAGGCACAGATTGCTCAGACAAGCCATGGCTGCCCCATCCCTGGAAGAGTTCAAGGCCAGGTTGGCTGGGGCTCTGAGCAACCTGAGATAGTGGAAGGTATCCCTGCCCCAGGCAGGGACATTGGAACAAAATGATATTTATGATCCTTTCCAACCCAAGCCATTCTATGATTCTAAAATAGAAATTGTGTTAAATGCAATTCCATAAGTGGCTTTTCTTTCTTTGGCTGCATTCTCTATTTTCTTGAAAGGTCTGGTTGATAGGACTGAAGATTTCCTACTAGACCTATTTTTCAATGACTATGTTTTATATTGTAGAAATGGAAGTAAACAGATTTCAGACTAGAGAAAGTATATTAAACTTGTATAAATCAGGAAAAATACTAATACTACTGAAGAAATGTTATTTAATGCAGTTTCAGTTTTGTAATTGCTGTCATTATTGTATTAAATTGCATTGAAAAGTATGATTTTTTTTTTTGAGACAGAGGTGTGTTTTATGTAGTCTGAAAACCAATGTCCAGCTTGCTGTTTTGAAGTGCTGTGCTTTCAAAGAGTCATAAAAAATAGAATTGGGCATTGGGATTTCTTTTTAGTCCGTTCTGGTTTTGAGAGGCAAAATAAACTATTTTTGCCATTCCTGAAAGATGTTTATCTTTTTCAGAGACTTTCAGTGAGTTTCAATGAGAAAGCAGCAATCCATTCTAACACTGCAATTTGCTCAATATGAGACATTTTCTTTCTATGTAGAAATGTTCTTACCAAAAAGGCATTAATTCTTGTCCAGTCCTATAGGCACAGAAAGTAGATTATTCCTTTTTTCTTTGACTTAATGGAAAGCTGCTATCATATCTTTCCTTGGCCTTTCCCTCCTCAGGTTAAATAACTGCTATTTTTTTCAATGGTTCCTCAGTACTCACATTTTCCAAATTTTCTCTCATTCTTTATTTCCTCTGGCCTATCTCCAGCTGTTTTGTGCCTTTCTTGATTGGCAGTGGTCCAAGGTGAGCATGATACTCAGATAAGCTGGTGCCAATCCTGTGTAGAGTTTATTACATGACATGCCTTGCAATCTATTTACTTCTGCAATGTGACAGTCCAATCTTTTTCACAATAGCATGGTACTGTTGACTTCTATAAAACTTGTGAACCCTTACACTGTCCAGGTCCTTTTCAGAAGGAGCTAAATCAGCTGGTGGCTTACACTTACCCTTAATGAATATATTACTAGGGAAAAAATAATTGCTGTAAAATAAATGCAATTACTGAAAATGAGGAATGGTGCCTGAGCCCTTTATCATATTAATAACTGACGGAGGAGTAAGGAAGAGAGAGAATTATCAACTTACAAGTATGTCAGGAATATGTGTTTCCCACAGTTCAAGCTAGTGTTCTGCCTGGAATCTTCCTTGTTATCTCTATTAATATTTAAGAATATATACAGCCAAAATAAACTTTTCACATTTTTATCATTAGCATTAAAGAAACTGATGAAAATTCAGCTTTCTTGCATATCACACCATACTTTTTGGATAATTTTGGTTTTCACAAGAAACATGAGTTAGTTTCAGGGAAAAATGGAAGCACAGCTGCGTATGCACAGTACAAATTTAAGGGAAAGAAATGCCACATCTGAAATGTATACATTTGGTCAGTTGTAATTCTGTTTCCTAATATTCATTAATGCATTAAATTATTAACTCAGTTTCAGTTCAGCAGCAATGCACGACTGTGCAAATGTTCACCCCTCATCCTACCTACTGTTCTGTCAAAATGGGAATTTTGCAGAATATAGTGCTCTGGGTAAAATAATGTATTCATTTGTGCTACACAAAGAAGTCCTTCCTGATTGAGGGAGGCCCAGATTTTGTTAGGAATATGTTCTTCAGGGAGTCTGGCATTTCATACTCAAGGTGACTTGGTATTTCAGACATTTTATCTGAAGGACTTCAAAGCTTGGTTTAGCCAGCTGCCCCTCCTGTCCTGTGTGGCCTCAGTGCTTGTGATTTCTGATGGCATCCATTGAGTCAGCAGCCTATTCTGTATTGTGACTAAGAGCTGTTTTATCTGCTTAGTCATTTTAACTGTAAGAGATGTTTTTGGAGATAGTACCTCCAGTGCTGGAAGCCAGTTGTTTTTCTGGGAGCTTACATATCTGCAGTAGCTTTGCTTCTGCATGAGGTCACAGATTTTTAGTTAATTTAATATGATACATGAGAAGCTTTTCATACGTATTTTGCAAAGTCAACAAAGAAAACATAAACCAAATGACTCAGTCCTTAAAAAAGCCCCACCTTGCTCCATCATAGAGTGGTTCTGAGGTGGGCTCTGGTTGTTCTCCAGCTTTTGCCTCCCTGGACTCACCATGAAGAGAACTGGCAGATGAAAAACTTGGGCTGACACTGCCAGGTGTGGCTTGGCTGCAGAAAAATGCTGGGGAAGTTCAAATGTTGTTCCTTTTGCATGGTGTCACTGGGTTGCCAGTCCCTAGGGATGGGTTGGTTGGTGGCTCTGTGCATACTCTGGGGTGCACCCCAATCCCTCTGCCTGGGATGTCACAGGGAATATGGGAGGGAGCTGGAGTCAGGCTGCAGACTGTGATGTGTTGTGAGGAGGGTTAAAAACCCCAAGCTCCACAGTTTCCGCTGATTGTGGCTCAAATAGCTTGTTTTATAATTACTTTTGAGAATTGAAGGAGCAGTGTTGGCTCACAGAGGTTTGTAAATCTCAGCATTCACACTGTTAAATACAGGGGCTTTTAATAAGGCTTTGAAAATATATATTTTGGCTTGTTAGTCAAATATAATGCTGTTTAACTGTTAAAAAATACTGTGTTTCTTGAAATTAGAAATGAAGCTGCTGTCTGCTTTTATTCTCATTTCAACCA